TGTGTGTGTGTGTGTGTGTGTGTGTGTGTGTGTGTGTGTTTAAAGCCTGAAAGGCTTACAGAGTCAGGCACAGCAGATTAGTTTTAGAATTATCCACAGAATGTGGTAAGACGCATTACAAATATAAAGTCTTTATTTATCTCTTCTGTAATCTCCTTAGTTTCATCATGACAATTATAATACAGTTTTCTAATGCTGGCATGATTCTCTGCAAACATGATGTTCAGAGGCCGATTGTCCCCTATGGAGCATCCTAAATTCAATCCCTGCCAAGCAGTTGCTAGGCAACCCATGTACTGTCAGTGTAAACATGCAGTCCCCAGGCCAGGCGATTTGTGGTCTCCAGGTTACCAGATCATTATGGATTCACACATAACAACCAACAACATTTACATTGTACAGCATAAACTTGATAATACTTGACACATAAAACTATAACAGTACCTTACGAATCTTGCATTAGAAATGTTCAGTACTTGACATGCTTTCTGCTTCACTGATATGTGTAAATGTGATTCATACTCAGTCAATGTGTATTCTTGTCATATGTTTACACTGTCATCTCCAGAGTGAGCACAAAAAAAGTAGTTTGATGTACATATTTGTAGTTAGGCAAAATATAATTGTGCTTGATTACTGTAAAATAAATAGAGCAGTTTGAGTTGGGTAAGACTGCCATCTACTGGCGAAAGTCTATTGTAGGGTTTTTGTTGGTATTTATAAAGGAAAGGGTGAATAGACATGTATACGTAATCAAAGGTCATGTAGTTATTATTTGTTTTCTCTTTGTTTTATTGCATTCAATTAATGCATGGTTATTTAGCTCATTACCAATTGCCATTGCATTACATAGCAATTCAACTGTTTTGTGCTCACGCATTGTTTTGGATGCATTCTGATTTTGTTGTCAGTCGGCATTGAATTGTTTGATAGTTACTCTGAACAGTCAAGTCTTCGCAGTTCAGATGTGTATTGATGGCTATTTAGTAGTATGACAGAGTATGATAGAGCATAGTTCATCAGAGTACTGAATTTCCATGGTCAAACTGGACAAAACATAACTTTTATAAATTTATATAATAATTTAGAAATTAATTATATTAGTTATAACAATTTAGAAATTAATTATAAAATGTAAAGCATTAGATATATTTTTAAATACATTTTAAATATATTGTCAATTTATGTCACGACTTTTTTTTGTCACTTTAACAAAAGAGCTCCTTTTATCTTCATCTTCATAGTTTGAGAAGTCACTTAAATTGTAATGTGATGTGTTTGTTTTGGGCAGGTCTGGTTGCTCGAGATGAATTGTAACCCTGCCCTGCATACTAACTGTGAAGTACTGAAAGATGTGATACCACAGACAGTCACCGAGGCACTCGGTGAGTTAAAGTAAATAATAGTTCTGAATGCATTAAATATGTTTAACATATACATACATATTCAGACAGTTAAACCACGCTTTGATCAATTGTGTACAAACAAATGTGTTTTAAATGTGATGCATCGACAGTGTGAAATGTGCCGTTATATATGAGATAAAAACTTCTAGTTTGTTTGAATAATGCATATATGAAAGCGGTGAAAATGTGTTGCTTGTGATGGCACTTGATAAGATGAGGTGTGACAACACTTGTAGACGTGACATCCTTTCATTTCAGACCTTACTTTGGAAATCTTCCAAAAGTCTTGCTGTGGACTGAAACTGTTGCCGCTAAACAGTCAAAGAGATTTTCTATTGATGTATAGTGGTGAGACTGTGACCATAACCAAACAGAGACACAAAACCACCAGGCCTTTCTCGACCCTCCACCCAAAGAGCAGCTCCACCCACATTAACACCAACAGAACCGTTGCCATTGCAACACAAACAGCGAAATCAACCAATAGGGCCAGCAAATATTCAGAAACCCAAGCCAAATGTCTGGTCCCTTCCACCGCTGTCCTCTCTTCCTCTGCTTTGTCCAATACCATCCCACCTTCACAGCAGCCTGTGGAGTTACCAATGAAACAACATTCACCTATATCCCAGAAGCCTCTGACATCCAAAGCTCAAGAAACAAATCAGCTTCGACCACACCAGCCCAAACCCTTGCGTTCTCGTGTTGTGCTTCAGCTCAGCAAGTGCACCTGGCAACATCCTGCAGTGATGTCCAACCTCAACGTGCCTCCGCAGCCAGTGAGAAGTGCAATCAGGTCATTGTCTACACCAGCCCTGAGCAAAGGCTCAAACTCCACACAAAGACTTGGAGCTCAAGGCCACCAAACAGACAAAATGGAGCACATGAGCTGCAACCTAAAAACATCCAAGATTCATTTGGCTGAGCCATACTCCCTCCACACTGTGGGGACAGAAATGAAAGTGGCCAAAGTAAAGGAACAGGAAGATGATGGATGACAAATGAGCTATAGTGTAATTGCTATTATAAGTGCTTTTCTCAGAATAATGAGAATTTGCTTCTGCTTATGACTAATGATGTTGCTCATCACCAGAAGCATAATGTCCATTAAAATGGATGCTCCTTCAAAGGTTTAACTTTTTAACGTTTTAATTTTTTTTTAAGTTTAACGTGACTTCCCAAAAAAATGTTTATTTGTAAAAAAAAAAACAAAAAAAAAATTTTTTTATTTTTTGCATGTCACCCACTTATATATCTAATTAATGTTCAATTTATTCACACCTTTCTCATCTATTTTATCCTTAGTTGCTCAAAACTTTTGACCAAATTAGTTTTGCTTGGTTGCTCACCAAGGCTGCATTTTTTTCCACAAAAATACACTACAACAGTAATATTGTGGAAAATGTTTTACAATTCAAAGTAACATCATATATACTGTTATATATACAAAGTAACGTTATATATCTTTTTTTTTTTTCCAGGATTCTCTGATGAATATAAAGTTCAAAAGAACATTTTGGCACAAAAACATTTATTTGAAATATACATTTTTAGTAACATTGTCATTTTTAATCAGTTTAATGCGTCCTTGATTTATAAAGGTATTTCTTTCAAAAAAGAAAAAAAAAACTATATATATATATATATATATATATATACGATTTGAACCTGAGTTTTGTGGCACACTAAATTAAATTACAAATTTTAAGCTTTGAAGAGAACTGCTAAGCTGCATTTTTATTTTTTATTTTTTTTTTCCATCAAATTACCATAACTTCTTCAATGAAGTTTTAAAGTGATTTTGAATGTTCTCTTTGAGTGAATTTCAGACAATCACCTTTTTTTTTTTTTTTTTTC